GGATTTTTTTACATTTATATTTCATTTATTTCTGCTTTGATTTTTTATTACTTCTTTCTACTTTTTGGGGGGGAGAGGGAGGGTGGTTGTTGTTATTCTTTCTCTAGTTCTTTGAGATAAGAGATTATGTTTTTTCTTTGAGTTCTTTCTCGGTTCTTGATGGGAGCCTGTATTGCTATATACTTTCCTCTTGTAAATGCTTTTGCTGTGTACCATACATTCTGTAGAGTTGTATTTTCATTGTCATTCTACTTAAAGTGTTTTTTTAATTTCTTCTTTGATATCCTCTTTAATGCAGTGGTCTTTCAGAGTAGTGTCTGCCTCTTTTTTTTTTTTTTTTAAGATTTATTTATGCATGCAAGAACTGCCCTACAGACCAGAGGTGTGTGGGGAAGGATGAGGATACACCAGAGACTGAGTGGGAAGTAGAATAGGCACATTGACTGAAATACACTGCTGAGGGTTGCAGCGGGAGGGTCAGATTTCTGCTGCAAACCTCCCCCTGGGTGCTGGGAATCGAACTCATGCTGCAGTGGCTGGGGATCACCTCATAGTGCTGTGCTTTAATCCTTTGCACAGCCCCAGTAGTGTCTGTTTCAAAACCATGAAGTAGTAAGGCTCCTTGCTTTCTTTTCATGGTTTATTTCTAGCTTAATGGCTTTATGATCAGAGAAGATAGTTGGAATGACTTTGATCTTAATGTATCTGGGATTTTTTGGGGTACAGTATACTGTAGATTTCTGTTAAGCCCATGAGGTCTAGGTCTTTATTTAGGGCTGTAATGTCTTTGTTTATTTTTTGTCTCATTGATCTGTCCTTTGTGGTGTTAAAGTCTCCTACTATATATGTATTTTCTCTGATGTCTTTTTTCAGAGGTGATAGTAATCGTCTTATATATTGTGGTGTTCCTTCACTTGGTGTATCTATGTTGGTGAGTGTTATGTTTTCCTGATGTATTATTCCCTTAATCATAATGTCTCTGTTTACTTTTTGTGTTTGAAATACACTTTATCTGTTAAGTATAGCAGTTCCTGCCTTTTTTTCTTTTTTTCTAGTCCATTTGCTGTAGAATTGCTTTCCAAACTTTTATTTTCAGTCTATGTTTATCTTTTATAGCTGATGTTTTTCCTTGGGACAGCAGAAGGTTGGATTTTGTTTTTTAATCCAGCCTGCCACTCTTGTGTCTTTTTTTTTTTTTTTTTGATGAGTTTAAGATTAAACTTTTCAACTTCTCTGTTTTTTTAAACATGATGATTTGAAATTCTCTGTCCGGGAGTCAGAGAAGTTTTTCTCTGTCATTGTTGCATTATAATGGTTGATATTGATTGGCATCTGTATTTCCCATTTTGTTTGTATTTTTTGTGACTTTATTCCTTGCCTTATTCTGTCCTTATTCATCCCTTTGTTGGTTTGGCTTTAGGACCTCTTGTAGTATTTTTTAAAGTGGGTTTTAATAATGATGATATTCTGGAGAGTCTATCTGAGAAGGTCCTTATTTTTCCTTTATAGAGGAAGAAGAACATTATAAGGAAGGTATTCTTGGTTGGCATTTCTTAACTTGAGTTTGTTGAGTATGTCACTTGATTCTCTTTTTGCCATTAGTGTTTCTTCAGAGAAGTCTGGTGTCAACCTAATTGGTTTTCCTATATAGGTTATTATTGTCAGGATCATTATTTTTTTCCTTATCTTAGACTCTTGGAATCATTACTATTATGTGTCTTTCTGTAGTCTTCCTTTCATTGTGCTAATTTGATTATCTCTGCTTCCTGTATGTCTATTTTCATCTTCTTTTTCATGCTTATGATTTTTCTCTTCAATTATCTCCTTAAATAGTTTCTCAGTTCCTGTCTCTTTACTCACCTTCTGGGACCACTCATTGTGTCAGATAGTTCTCAAATTGTTTTTTCATTCTTTTTTCCTTTGATTCTTTTTATATCTATATTTTTGAGAGTATTGGTTCATTCTTCCATTTATCAATTCTGTTTTGTTGCTTTCTCCAGAATTCTTTAGCTCCTCCATTAATCTTTTAATTTCTGCATTTCCTTCATTTCCTTCTTTAGAAATCAGTTCATTATTTATATACGTCATACATCATATCATTCCTTTCCTTTTCGTCTTCTCTTGTTTTTAATCATGATGATTTGAACTTATCTGGCAGGCAGAGAAGTTCTTCTATGTCATTGTTATGATCTGATGGCTGATTATTGTTGTTGTGTATCCTTTCCCTGTGGGCTTGTTTGCTTTACAATTTGTTCTATGTGTTGGGCCACTTGTGCTGCTGGTATACTGACAGGTGTCTTTGGGCTGCTCCTTCTCAGTTGTCAAGAATTGATGGATACATCAAGTCCAGCACTTTTATGCCAGATTCCACAAGAGTAGTGATGCTGTGGATATGTTGATGGGTACTGACCCTGACTTCCAACAGCCCCATTGGCAAGCCTGAACTTGGTTGGGACCCACAGTTCACCTTCATGGTAGAGCACTCCTCTCTACTCAGTTCTGAAAGGGTGCCATGGGGCCTCCAGCAGAAAGAAAAGAAAGCTCACCTGAACTTTCCTTTTCACCTTTGTTTTCAGAGCCCTCTCTTTCCCAACTCAGTTCCAGAAGAGGATCTCTGGGTTGCTGGCTTCCAGTGATGGCTGCACTTTCCTAGTACTCACAGTTCACCTTGATAATGGAACCCTCCCTCTCTCTACACAGTTCCAAAAGGGGGACATAGGGCCTCCGGCAGCCTTGCTCAGCCCACACTTTCCTGCTTACCTTTGTATGTGGAGCCCTCCCTCTTTCAACTGAGTTCCAGAAGGGGATCACTGGGTGGCTGACTAACAACAATGATATGGGGGCTGTACCTTTCCTGGTCCCTATAGGTCATCTTGATCACAGAGCCCTCCCTCTCTCTACTTATCTGAAAGTGGTATGCAGCTGCCAGCAGCCTTGCTTGGCCTGCGCATTCATCACAAAAGCAGATTGTTAACCTGTATCGAATACTTATTCTGAGCTTCAAAATCCTGGAAGGTTTCTACAGTATTTTTGTTGTTGTTTTTTAACTCCTTGCAACAGTATCAGCAGCTAGGTACTGATATCTTCCCTGTTTCATAAAGGGGGGAATGGAAAGTTAAAGAATTAACTGACTTTCTTATGTTGTGATAATGTATAAAAGACAGTGGATGCAGGTCATTCTCCAGTGTCCATGCTATACCACTTCTCATTTACTCTAGGGACTTGAGTAATACCTAGCTTTGTCTTGGCAATATAATCATATATAAGACAAGAATAGAAACATGTTTATCAGTATATAAAAAAGTGTTTGCCTTCTGACATTGCCTCTCTCTAGACTACAGTTAAGAAGTAAGTGTATCACATATGCTAAGTTTAATGAATTGTGTGGATGTTTATGGTGATGTATGACTGCCATTTATTCACTCATATGTCTTGTCTGGGCTGGACATTTCTCTGTGGCGGAGGAAAGTTACGAAGGATTAAATCAATGTCCATCACACTGGGAATGTACTTCAGTAGCAAGACTTGCTTCAGGTCTTGGCCTCACAGGGAAGGTGATACTTGATGAATCTCTAGTCAATGGATTAACCTTTGCGCCTTTCTTTGCAGCTCTCCCTTTTTCAGCCTATCCTGGCCAGCAGGTCTGTCTGTCATGTCTCAAATAATCCAGAGAAAGAGAGGGGACATTTTCACTAGGCAAATCTGCTTTAGCTTATAATTTCACCCTTTGCTGATGATTTCTTTGCTTGATATTGACCTAGAACCTTTAAATCCCCAGGAGTGTTATTGACTCTTGGTTTTTGCTGTGAGTAGCACCTGAATGGGGTGTTTCTATTGTGAATGGTGTCAGGAACAAAAAGGAGGAAGATATGGTTGGTGTCTCATTCTACAGCAATATTAAGACTCTCATTTTTGGGTTCTGAGTTTTTCCATTTTGTTGCTGCTAGATTCTAAGTACCTAAAAGAGTTCTTGCTACTAATTATAGGAAGAAATAAGAATATGTAACCTTACTAAGATCCGAGCTTTAAAAATATAAACAACTTATTATATATTAAAATTGAAAGAAAATCAAATCAAAGAAGCTTTAATAGTATATGTTCTTTTATAGCTTTGAAAAAAGATGGGATTTTTTTATTGTGGTAAAATGCACATGATACAGAATTAATCATATTTAAGTAGCATAGTTTCATATTGTGCAGCCATCACTCATCCTCCTACAGAACTATTTCATCTTCCCACACTAAAATACTAATTGCCCATACCCTCTCCCTGACAACCCTGGCAACCCCACCTTCTTTCTGTCTCTATGATCTGGACTACTGTGGTACCTAATAAGTACTGTAGTATCCATATAAGTAATGTAGTACCTCATATGAGTAGAATCATACTTATCCTTTGTGTGTAATTTCATGTTGATAATTTATTGATAATTTTCTTATTATATGAGTAATATCTGCTTTGGAAAAACTTAAAAAGTACTTATAAACCAGAGTTCTACTCAGATAAACATTAATATCATTTTTATATATTCAGTCATTTTTTTTCTTTGATCACTGTATGTAGACTGCAATGTAATAATAATATTACTAGTAATAACTAATACTATAGTTATTAAATTATAATAAATCATAATTTATTGTCTACTTTTCACTTAACAAGGAATCATGAAGACAAACATCTGTCAATCCCTTCAATATTTTCTGCATAGCTATTTCAATGACTGTAATATTTTTCTCTTCAGATGTATCATTATTAATGAGCAATATTCTTTTTATTCTTGTGTGGTCAGGAGCAGCATTCTGTTTGTACACCATTATCTTTTTTTAACTGAATCACCTCCCATCTGAAGGGTAGCTCCTTTGCCTTTGGGTTGGTGTCTGCTAAGCAAATCCCCATATGGCCAGCTCATTGACCGGATGCCTAATATTCACACCTTTATCATTTATTTATGCATTATTGATTATAGTTCACACTTTTGATAGCACCTTTCTTTCTCTAGGGCAGCAGGGCTTTTCAGTTTGATTGACACCATGTGGCCTCCAGCAGTGACTCTGGAAATTGCTGGCTCCAGTCCATCCTGTGGTGAAGTAAATGTAATATATGAAAAGCAGCCCCTGTCACCCTATGCTCTGTATCAGATACCTACCTCCCCCAACTTCTAACCCCACCCACGCTGCTACAGGACACTCCCCAGAGACCCCAAGTCCAGTGTATATCAGCCAGTATGGAAGTTCAGAATCACTTGTCTCACTGTGAAGCCAAAACTCTGGTTGTTTTCCCAGCTGTGCTAGGAACTTGATAAAAAATGTGTTGAAAGCACAATCACTATGTACCTCAGCATATCAGTGAGGGTGTTAGCCTCAAGACACAGGGTATTATCCTCCACCTCCTTCTATTCACTATCAACATTCAATTACCATTTGAAGGAGAAATTCAAATAACCTAGTAAATAAAATCCAAAACTACCTGTACAACTACGAGGTAAACTAGAATTTTCTATTTTCCTGTCTCATTAAATTATTTATGGCAGTTGCTCACATGTAGCAAAATTGATTGGTTAAAATGTGTCCCCTTGTACCGTTCCAGTCCTTGTTCAGCAGTCTAGTCATGGCTGCTTTGGGCCATAGCCCCTAAGCTGACCATCCTATGTGTGTGGTAGCTGAGATGAACACTAGCACTGTGCTACATTTTATAATCATTGTCAAAACTGCCCCATTTCCGTATTACTTTATTTTTTGCAGAGAAGAACTGGGGTACAGGCCAGAGGTGTGGGCAGTGGAAAGAATACAACAGAGTCATAGTGGGGAGCAAAACAGACAGATTTATTGAAACACTCTGCTGAGGGAAGCAGCAGGCAAGACAGGAGAGGTCTGATGCCATATTTTGGGCTAGCTCCCTAGCCAGGTATTGAACTTAGGCCATAGCAGTGATAGTGCTGAGACTTACAAGGATTCACCAGGGAGGCCCATTTCCAGATTGTTTAACAAAAAGTTTCTAAATAATATTTTCAGTATATTCTGAAGAATAACATCTAAAATTAAATGAATTGGTAATAAATTCAAAAGTATAAAAGTTCTTATACTTGATCTTTGAGTTATTATTTCTTATATGACCATCTAGAGAAAGTAAATCTATGATAACATGTGTATGTGGAAGAGTAGAATTGAACATTGTACTTATCCTTTAACAATATTTTACCTTTTAACCTGTGCCTTATTTTTAAATAGGTAAACACTCATCTACCCTACCCTAGCTTTTGTTATATACTCACTGCTCATCCGAATTTGGGACATATTGACATAATTGAAGACCCCATTTCTAAGCTTTACCAACCTCCAATTCCCCGCCTCTTAAGAGAAATTCTCCAGGTAATATTTGTTCGTGAAAAGTTCTTCAATTATATTTATTGTATTTGTGTTACTAATCTTTTTCAATGCCTTTCCAGAATGTTGATCTCAGTACCCGTTGCAGTTTCTATGCCAGAGTGATTTATCAAAGATCAAAGGTAATCTCTCCTACTACTTATTTTTCTCATTTTATAATCTCTCCCACCATTTATTTTTCTCATTGTATAATGTATGAGTGTTTATAAAGATTATTAAAGCATTGACTCTATTAGAAACTAATAGTCTATAAATAGAAAAGCACTTTTAAAATCCAGTTAAGTAAATGCCAGATGATTTTACTTATATGTGGAAACTACAGAAACCAAGTGATCAGATGAAGACAAACTGTTAAGACTGACTTTTGAAAGCAGAAGGGGGAGTGGGAAGTAGGGATGGGGGATAGAGGAGCATGGTGGAACATGGCAGAGGACTGTGGTCACTTTGGTGGTAGGAAAACTGTGGTTGACATACCCGAGGGAAGAAATGCTTCATTATGAAAAAAATAAATAAGGATGTTTAAAAATTAAATAAATTAAATAAATAAGTAAAATCCAGCAAGGCATGCCCTTGTGTTTGTGTGGCCTGCCCGCCACTGTGTTAAGTACTGGGATACAAAACAGTTGCCCACATACAGCTCTTCCTGAAAAATTCTCAGCCCAGTATATATTAGTACCTTCTCAACTCATAGGCAGGTTGAATGAAGTAAAGAGAAGCTGAAATAGCATTTCTAGGGTGAAAGTAGAAATGACATGATTAGTTCTACCACTTCTAAGAATCTGAGAAACTTCAGTCCTTAAGGAACACTATGGTCCCCGTGAGGCCTGGGCAGTTCCAAGGAGCTGCAGCCTGGAGAAGCTTGTTTTCAATTCCTTGCCATTCAGTAGATCAGCTGGGAGTGGACAAGGGAAGGACATGTTCTTGGCAAACTGAACACATGACATCAGTTCTGTAAGCAACTTCTGCTTGTCCTGAACTCACAGAGGAGCATCTATGTGAACTTCAATCAAAAGTCATATAGAACATCCCACTCTTAGTGTTCTTTTTCTTTTTCTTCATTTACCTTTTAGTCATTTAACAACTAATCCATGCCTTTCCTGAAGAAAGAGAGTGAATGGCATCAGTCATTCAGCAGAGCTCCCTGTTCATCATCCCCAGGTGTGGCTTAATAGGCAGGGGGATAGGCTGTCAGTGAAGAGAGGACCTGGGTACTTGATATGTTTCTTATTTTCCAATTCAGAAGGAACCGAAGGCTAAAGTGTGAAGTCCTCTACCGGGCATCTACGGGATTGGGATTTTGAGACATGCTTCGCCCTGGCACAATTCCACTCTAAAACATATTCCAGACTGTGGGATCAGGACATCAGGCAGTGGATCACTGTTCAGCTGCCATTTATACTGCATGTAGAATGTTGTCCTTGGGGGCACGTTAGCAGAGTGTCCTGCACTCTGACCCCGAGAGCCCATCCAGCTGAGACTGAAGTGGAAAGTAAAGAAAAGTGAGTGAAGACATGCACACACCATAGTTGGGTCTCAGACACCTGCTCTCAGACAACAGAACCTTGGATCAGAGAAAGAGACTGCATGAATTTAGGGCATTGAAACTTCCACCTGCCCATGGGATGACTTAAAGCATTGATCCCTTCCTTTCCCAAATTCTTAACCAAAGTGCAGCCTGCAACAAACTTGAACTTCAGTGGTATTTGTATTACTTTACCAGGGATTGGTAGCACTTAGTTAGGATTTAGTCAGGGCTGCAGAATTCAATGAAACAAATTCTTCCACTCACTTAAATTCATTTTACATCTGTATCCTGCATTTGTAGGAAAGACAATCATCAGAAAATAACTTCCTCAGGGAGAAACTGAAATAAACTAAGGCCTGGGCCACTATGTTGTTAAGCCAGTCACCTACACATGCCACAGTGATAGCTGACTTTAGAATGGCCCTGTGAGTCATTATAATTACCCAAACTTTCAAAGATTCAGTTGTATTTCCATTATACTAAGATTTGAAAATGAGATTTTTTTAACTTTTAAATTAAATTATTCAAAATTTTTATAATCACAGTAATTACAAATTCATAGTAGTTACAAAGAAATGTTTCAGAGAGGCCCTGGATACCCTCCCCAATGTGTGCAGCCATACACACAGTGACCAAAGTACACTAGCAAAACAAGAAACTGATGTTGGCACAGTTGTTGCTGATTCAGATCTTACCAGTCATGCAGATGTTTGTATAACTCTGCAGTTTTGTCACATGGGTATCTTCCATAACTTCCACCAAATCAATGTGCTCAGCTGCCTTGTGTTCCTCTTTGTTTCCACACCTGCCCACTTCCCCATCCTTCAACCTGGCAAACACTAACCTGTTCTCATCATTATAATAGAATGATATTTTATGATGAGCACATAAATAGAACCATGTGGTATATGTATAAACACCCTAGTTTCCGAGGCCTACCATGCAGAATTCTAAAAACTTCATTGCACAAGACAACGGGAATTTATTGTCTCACATTTCCAGAGACCTATAGTCTGAAACTAGGGAGTCAGTAAGGATGGGTTCCCACTCACATTTCAGGGGAATGTCCCTCCTTTCCCCTCATAGCTACTGTTATTACTAGTAAGCCTTCATCTCCATTGTTTTGTGGACACATTATATCAATATGAGCCTCCATTTGGTCTTCCTTCTGTCCAAATTTCCTTCCTGCTATCCAAATTTCCCCTTTTTACAATGACACTGGTCACATTGAATTAGGGCCTACTGTAATTATTTCAACTTAGCTTGGTTAAATTATAAAAACTATTTCCAAATAAGGCTACATTCCTAGAGCTAGTCATTCAACAAATCTTTTTGGAAGAACAAAATTCAATTCATCAGCTCCTTTTGAGATTGACTCTTAAAATATATTTATTTTATTTATTTATGCATACAATTGTTAGGGTATAGGCCAGAGGTAAAGGGGTGAGGATTTATCAGCAACAGAGTGGGGAACAGAATAGGCGGTTGACTGAAATACACTGCTGAGGAGAGCACCAGGCGAGACAGGAGAAGTCTGCTGCACCATGTGGGTCAGCTGCCTGGCTGGTGAGTCAAACTCTTGCAGCATTGGCTGGCAATAACTTCATAGTGCTGATACTTTAACCCTTGTGCCACCAAGCAGTCCTGAGATTGTCTTTTTTTTTTAATTAACATTCTCTAGAGACTCATGCAGAAAGAGAACTAATGATGTTGAATATTTTTTTTATGTGTTTATTTTCCAACTATATATAGCTTTTTGGTGAAATGTCTTTTCCTATTTTGGGATTAGATGGCTTGTTTATTGTTGAGTTTTTAAAGTTCTTTACACATTCTCTATACAAAGCCTTTGTCAACTATATGATTTGTAAATATTTCTAGGGGTCTTCTTATCCTTTTAACAGGGATTTTTTTTAAAGATTTATTTATTTATGCATACAGAACTGGGGTACAGGCTAGAGATGCAGGGGTGGAGAGAGGATTCACCAGAGACAGAGTGGGGAGCAGAACAGGCAAATCGACAAAGTACACTGATGAGGGGAGCAGCGGGTGGGTCAGGAGAGGTCTGCCATGCCATGTGGTCACCTCAGGGCTAGGGATTTAACTCATACTGAAGTTGCTGCAGCTGACTTACAGTGGTGCATCCTAACCCACTGCACCACCAGGGAGGCCCCTTAACAGGGATTATAAAGGAAAAAAAATTTTAAAGATTTATTTACTTATTTATGCATACAGAACTGGGTACAGGCTAGAGGTGCAGGGGCTGTGAGAGGATTCACCAGAGACAGAGTGGGGAGCACAATAGGCAGATCGACGAAGTACACTGCTGAGGGAGCAGCAGGTAGGTCAGGAGATGTCTGCTGTGCCATGTGGTCACATCTGGGGCGGGCAGGGTTCAAACTCATGCTGAAGTGGCTTTAGCTTATTAGCGTTGTGCTTTAATCTGCTGCGCCACCAGGGAAGGCCTATAAAGCAAATTTTTAAAAATTTCATGTGGTCAAATTTTCCTTTTATGAGTCATTGTTTTGTCTAAGGCTTAAGTCAAGTCTAAGATATGTCAAATCTCTTTGCCTAATCCTAGGTTCCAGAGCTAATCTTTACGTTCTTTTTCTAGAATTATAATTTTGCATTTGAATCCATGAAGCATTTCTTACTGTTTTTTGTTTGTTTTTTGTGGCACAGAAGAACTGGGGTGTAGGCCAAGGGTGCAGGGGGTTAAGAGGATTCACCAAAGACAGAGTGGGGAACAGAACAGGTAGATTTACTGAAATGCACTGCTGAGGGGGGAGCAGCAGTTGCAGAAGTCTGTGCATCATGTAGATTAACTTCCTGACTGGGGATCAAACTCAGGCTGTTGTGAGAGTGCTGAGACTTAACCCCTAGGCCACTAGGGAGTCCCTCCATGAAACATTTTGAACTGGTATTTATATAAGGTATATGGTTAAGTCAAGATGCTTTTTTCTTTTTGTGTATGAATATCCAGTCATTCCAGCATTATTTGTTATTGTGGAAGAGATTTATTTTTAACAAAATTTTAGCAAAAAGTTTGGTAGTACTGTTTTAATTTAATTGTTATATGTGTCTGTTACTCATCAGTTTAATGGCTATTTTATTCATTACTCCAGTGGTAAAGCCAATTTGGTAGTTAATTTCTTTTTTTAAAAAACATTTATTTATTTATGCATACAGAACTGGGTTACAGGCCAGGGGTGTGGAGAGGTGAGAGGATTCATCAGCGACAAGCAGGACAGGCAGATTGACTGAAATACACTGCTGAGGGGAGCAGCTGGCTGGTCAGGAGAGGTCTGCCATGCCAGGTGGGCATGGCCAGCGATCAAACTCAGACTGAAATGGCCAGGGATCACTTTATAGTGCTGTTCTTTAACCTGTTACTCTACCAGGGAGGACCCTTATAGTTAATTTCAAAGGAAATTAGACCATTTTGGTTCACCAAGAGATTAAAGAGGCAAAGAGCTTAATTCTGTATTTTTGAGGAGCATATAAAATCTTCGAAGATTGTCAGAACTCCCAGCTTCAGATAATCTTTTAGAAATCTTTGCTACTTTTTAAAATGTGATTTTGCTAGTTTTCAAAAAAAAAGTCCTGTATAGCTCCATAGTTTGGCATAGGACCATGTGTTGCACTAAGTTGTCATGTCTCTTTCCTTTTCAAACAAAATACATCTTCATCTTGCTTCTCTTTGCATGACTCTGGACTTTTTGGAGAATACAGGCCAA